ATCTAACATAAATTATTCTTGTGTTTCTCTATCACTTAAGTAGTTCACGCGCTCGGAAACAATAGTTTCTGACTCACTCACGTTGTGTGTTTTTGTTTGTTTGTTTATCAAATTCAGAAACAAATGTAAATGTATTTATTTGATAAGTATAGAGTAAAAAGGTTTTTAATTTTTTTATTACTATATGTAACTACATAATATCATTAAAATAATGATAGTTGCTCAAACGTTTTGTACTGACACATATGGATCAATCAGTTATTGAGGAAAACAACAAAAAAGCGTTTCCTGTTTGTCCCACAAAAATATTCCTTTGTTTTATTTTTGTATTTCACATCACAGTTGCAAGTGCTTCAATTGAACTTCAAGTGAACTTGAAATTTCTACGTGCTTTCGAACTTTTGAATAATCAATATGTAAAATATAATTGACAGAAAACGAATGCGAAAAATTTACCAATAGAAAGATGTAAAAAAATATCAAGTAAGCTGCATCGCGGACGCTGTTCTTGAGTACACGAAAAGTCTTCTGTGTGCTTCAGAGAGTCTATGAACCCTAGGATAGAATGAAACCTAACCAAATACATAAATTCAAGCACTAAACACTCATCATGAGTGCAATACTGCAATCGAGCTCCCCCGATTCATAGTGATCCCGTTTTTTCTCAACATCATTGGGATTTCTATAGTTACGATGCATGTGACGCTAAATTTAACTTTCATGTGTCATGCGTGGCAAGACAACATTATCATCTCTGCATGTGATTCATGCCTGATCGAGTAATGGCTTCTTTGCTCTAAACAACGATCCCAATATGAGGTGCGCATGTAATACGGTTCTGAAGATACCACGATATTCGTATCATATGTTTTGGTTACATGCTGTTTTAGCAAATGGTCCCTACTCAGGAATTAAAGACATTTCACGTCAAAATTACATCTCAAATGTCATCGTATGGATAATTAATGAACGTTTTAACATTTTGTAAAGTATTCCCTTTAATTTATACAAAATAAAAACGGAGATAGAATAAAAAAGAAGTTTTGACACATAGTAGTTGACCCGATATGCAATGCAATGCAATGCAATTAAATAATGAAAACAATATATTTGTTTCAGAGTATCGCCTTCTCGGAATAGATTAAGTAATGCGCTAGAGTGGAATCAGATAACCTTTCGCATTTTATCTAAATAGAGGAATATAGTTCAAAAACATTACCATTTAAATTATTCCTATTCACTAACAGTTTCTAAGAGTGACAGAATTGCGGATAGCAAGCTGGTGTACCGCCTGACATCGCCCAGTGTACCTTCTGCAGGAAGTTGGGTGATGCACATGAAGAGATGAGGAAGCACTCCCTTCTTTGCCTGTTTTTTTTTCGTTCCCAGCGACAGGATAAAACTCAACTTACTTCCATCTCTTTAGTTTTCTGCACAGTATTTCATTTATGGTCAAGGTAATGTACGAGTGATACTTGGTAATTTTGAAGTTAAATCTACAGCCGTCTATATGAACAGGAGTTGGGTTCATGAAATTAACGATATATGTAAAATTCTCGCCTGAGAAAGTGTATACAAGTTACACTTGTAATTGGTATTATTATTATTATTATTATTATTATTATTATTTGCATAATTATTACGTGTTTTATCGGCGAACTCTGTTCGTATGTGAGAAGGAGTCTAGTCGTATGCCAGAAGATTCGGGTTCGGTTCCTGATTCAGTAGTCAATACTTTGAAGAGTTCAATTATTCTGTTAAGTAGCTATTTAATAGTAACTGTTCTTGCAGGGTTTTTTTATTCATCTCTCTTTTTCTTTACCCCATTGTTTTGGACATCCTGCCTTATATCTCCCTCTACCTAATCCTCGTTATCACACAACCACAGGCCACCGCTCAACGGGAATCAGGTAATTGAACACAAAACCGCTCGCGCAGCTCTGCACACGCGGACAGCGACATGTGGCAGGCCGAAATTGTCCGTCGCTTTGATTAGTTGGCCGCGACGGAGCATGCGGTCGCACCTGTATTTCGCGGTCGGGCGATGCGAGGGTCTCCCCAGGGAAATTCCGGCGGCCCTCGAGAACAAAAGTTTGCACTCGGTTGGCCCGGGGGTGGGGAAGAGTGCTTTGCAGCGGGCGAGGCGTATGGGCTTTGTTTCCATGTTGCAGGACGCCAAATTTCGTTGGGAGGATGGTGTTATGCGAAGGAGTATCTGAAGTGCTGGGTAGAAAGAGAACTAGAATGCGGGCTTTTCATACCTGCTCTCATGGCCATTAATTCATAATTGTCGTGAAAAATATGAACCTCAGTACTTCGTAACTCATTAATTTATTCGTTACTTGTGTTACTTGTGTATTTAGAGGCTTATTTGTCTCTCTTGGCGGTATTTAATTAGAGTAGTGTGGTTGACATTTCTCTATTACCAGTATTTACAAGTGAAAAAATATACCTACTTTTCTTTTCATTGTGAACTGTTGCAGTAAATATTCACAAAAATAAAGAGTTGGCGAAACCTAACGGCGCATAGCAAAATACTACTTGAAGTTCAATTTCAAATGTGCAAAATAATACTTAGTATTCCTATTGTTTCGACTTATTTCATGTCTTTGTATTCAATTATTTTTTTCCTTGATATTCGAATATTTTGAATATTCTTGTTTTATCAATAATTACTAATTAAACGAGTTCGGATTCTTTTCAATTTTCTTGGAGTAAAGATTTTTAAATATCAAGATATAGTTATATATAGTGTCAGTAAACATTACCATACACAACTGTCTTTCATTATGTCAAATGGCACGAGTAATACGTAAGTGATGTGAGTTCAATTAAAACGAAAAATCTATTGATTATAAATTATCGTTGAGTGAGATATTTATTCGACTTTATTCAAGGAGATGACATACTCCCTTACTGTGCAACGTCGTAAGCAGCAGAAATCACAGTGAAGATGTTTCTAAGTAAGGGATGAGGATAGGATACGGAAGATGAAAGAAAGATCGCGCGCGGTTCACGACCCGTTTGTTAGGGTATTGCTCAAGTAGTCGTCTGGTGTTGATCGCAGAAACCACGAAAAACTACCGATCAGAGCCTTCGGACACTAGAATTCTCCTCCAGACACCGCCTGAATTCCAACTATATCGACCTAGTGTCGAAAATCCAGCCAGTGTCGGAACTCGAACCCTAGAACCGCTGTCAGAGGCACTACATTGACATTAGCTGATACTCTGAGGGACTTTTTTGCCTGGTTAGTGGCTTTGATATTAAATTGATTAGAGATTATGTAATAATATTATATTATATGTGTGTGTGTTGTTGGGTGCGTGTGCGCGTGCGTGTGCGTGTGAGGTGTGTTGTGTGTGTGTGTTGTGTGTGTTGTGTGTGTGTGAGAGAGGGAGAGAGAGAGAGAGAGAGAGAGAGAGAGAGGAGAGAGGAGAGACGTGGTGGCACTATCGCAGAGTTCTCTTCCCGTTTTTATCTGTTAGAAGTTTTGTCTTTGAAGACATCTTTAAAATCTATTGTTCACTTGACTAATAACGTTATTCGGTCGTAAAGAACACCGTTCAGATAAGTTTTAGAAATTGCAATATTGGGTTATGCATTACAACAAAGAAGAATGTCATGCTTTGAAAAAATGTTTTTTGTGTAATGTGGTGTAATGTTGAAGAGTGTAGGCAACTGAGGAGACATTTGAACAACCGTAGGAGTCAAGAGAAAAGGAAATCTCCATGAAGCAAAAAGTTAGAGATTTTCTGGCCCTGAGCAATGAGTGTGCAGTCTAGGATTTAAAGCGGCTGCTTGACAAAGTAGAGAGTATCTACTAACAGCATGTTTTATTAACATAAAATATAACCTAACACGAAGATATGATTTGAACTGCTTTTTCGCGAATTTCTTATTTGTCACCTTTCCAACATTTTTCGTTAATACTTGCCAGAGTTATGGATGATGGTAAGGATTAATTAGTAAAGAATTAGTTTATCAGAGTTGGAAAAATACAACCTTTTTTGTTTTAGATCGGCCATTTTGCCGTTTATAAGGTGAACGTAGAGACGTTTACACACGTGCAGTAGGTATTTAGATGTAAGGCGAATCTTAGACCTAAGGTAAGACGATATGACTTCCAGTTCTGCCACGTGACTGTTAGAGTGTAACATCGCTACCTTACGAGTGGGGCTAAGCCTCCCTATTGGTCGATAAGACGCTCGCGCTCATAATCCTCAAGCCCGCGGACTCTCACGCATCCTCGCGTCCACGCCTTAGTGTCGCGGTAGAGGATTCAGAAACCAAACCTGCCGAGTTGCTGCTCACCCCCCACTATATAGGTGCCTCGCTGTGTCACTGTGTCGCACGTCGTCTCCCCCAACGGTCACTTCGGCGAGGTCTTGCGTCACATCCGGCGCTAACAAGGCAGCTTCCCTCTCGATGGAACAATTGCATTTGATTCTCACCCTCTTTCCTATTGTGGAGACGTTCCAGAACTGTCGGGTATCCTCGTTGCTTCGCTGATTATGGCGATGCCACGTGCTGAGTAGCGGACGCTACAATAGTAACGATCTCTAAAGCAATTCTTGAAAAGGTTAACGTTTGTGAGAGGGATGCAGCCTCCTGCTTTTCTAGGTGGTGATGGGGGCTGGGAGTTATTAATGACATTTGTAATCAAAAGTATCTAGATGACTTGATTCTTTCTTCAAAATATTTTTATGTTGAATTTTTTTATTTGTTGATTTTTTTATTATTTATGATGTATTTAATTGAAATATTGAATGTTCGTTACTAAAGAATATTAGAGTGGTAAAAACTGTGGTTTTCGATACTATTTATTTGACTGTCTAGGGAGATGTCGCACCCTAGGCACAGTTGCCAAAGTATCGACCGTCATGATGCGACCTTCCTCAGGGCGAAATGCCCGAGCCCTCTTTCTTGGGAAGGTATCTGCTGGTGAGGTGTGTTTCCCATGTCCTGCCATGGAGTGACGCTCTGTGCTTGTTCCCCAGGCCGACGGACGTGACGCTGACGCTGCGCGACCCGGGCAAGGCCGAGTACCTGGGCGAGGTGCTGCTGACGGTGTCGCTGTGGCCGCGCACCCAAGAGGAGAAGGAGCAGGTACGCAGCGGCGCGGCGGCCTCCTCCGACAAGGTGCTTACCTTTCTCCTCACTCGTACGCACGCTGGGCCAGACAGAGACTGTGGCTCGGCAGCGCCGCCCCGCCCCGCCCGCCCCGCCCCTCCCCGCCCGCCCCGCCCGCCGCCCGCCCGACTGCCCTGACCTGACCACCCGACCCGACCCGACCCGACCCGACGCCGAGCCCGACCCGACCCCGACGCCCGACCCGACCCCACCCACCCACACCCCAACCCCCACAACAACCCCCACCCACCCACCGACCCACTCCACCCCCCAACCCCCACCCCAACCCCACCCCCCAACCCACCATCTCACCTCACCCGACCCAACCCGACTCCATTCCAAATCCCCACGGTTTCCCTCCTTCCCAGTCAGGCTCACTCCGGCCCCACCCCTTCCCAACTCTGTGCCCCCGCCCCTTATTGCCGCCACATGTTAATCGCTCTCCACTCTGTTACTCACACATTACCCACTGTCTATTCCTAACTTCCTGAACATTGTTCTCGTTTCCCACCTCCACCCTTCGCCATTAACAATCGCTCGCTCCCTCGCCTCTCCCATTCACCCCTTCTCTGTCCATCATCCCCATCAATTTTCCTCAATTCTTGATATCGATCCTCGCCTCCGCCAACCGCACCCGATTTCCAACTCCCCCATCCTAACCCTTCACTACCAACCCTCCTATCCCAGTACCCGATCCCTCGTCCCCGATCCTTTCCCCTTATCTCAGCCCTCTAATCTTAGTCCTCTAATCCCAACCATCTAATCCCAACCCTCTAATCCCAACCCTCTAATCCCAACCCTCTAATCCCAACCCTCTAATCCCGGCCTTCAAATCCCAGTCAAATTTATCCAAGCTCTCTAACCCACCTACCCCATCCCAGCCCCGGATCTGACTCCCGAACTCCACTTCCGATCCACAACCTCCTTTCCCCTCTCCCACTCTGGCCAACAAGGCGCAAGTTGGGATGCTCAATCAACAATGCAATTTACCAGAAGTGCCTCGGTCTGTTCCATACTGTGCCGTTTACTTTACGTAATTAATAATTACCACTATTGCATATTTGTGCTTGGTAATAATATTTATTCACTTCCTGCAAAAAAGATTTGAAGTGTAACACAAAAGATCATTAGAGGATAATTTATTTGTAGCTGACTTTGTGTTACTTGTTATCTAACAACACACTAATGCATTAATTTTCATTACCCGTTATTTTTAAAATTCACACAGTTACGTATCTTCTCCAGATGTGAATTTAAGGACGGCCGAATTTTGCAATATTTTTGTTTAAAAAATGTAGAATTATTTCGATTTTTGCTTCTTTTCCACGGAAATCGTATAAGAAGCATTATCATAATGCTCGAAACATCTCTAAGAACTTGAATGGCATTTTATCTTTAAAACGCATCAATCCTGTTTGAGCATTCCGCAGAGGTTAATAAACGAAAATTTCGGTGAGTCTTATTCACCAGAGTCTACGGTTGGCAACTCACCATCAAGACCTTGTGGACACGACGTACTCCTTGTGATAGCAGACGAAGGACGGAAATATTCATATACAACATCTCTTAGAATTCCAATTTTTGGCTAATACTGTCATTTTTTAATCAAGAATAAACGGCCCGATTAATTTTTTTAAATCGATATGCATTTGCAATATAGTTATCTTTTCTTTTAGAGTTTTTTTCTTTTGCTGTCTATAATCAAGCATGAATCGAATAAAAATGGTTTTGTTCGGATTACTGTCTTTGAATGTTGTTTTTGTGTTTGTGTCTTTGAATGTTGCTGTCCTTCGTCGTGCGTGGTTCGGGGTATACCCGATTTCGTCGTTCTCATGAGGTTGCCAGACTAACGCAGTAATGTACAAGTAGTTGTCATACTATTTAAACAAGAATGGTTACTGTTTCGTGGCTGGCCTGATAACTGAACGTACCTTTTAAAGGTTCGTCTGACATATGATTCGACCATATGTGCTTCCACAACACGCAACAAGGTGTGTGGGAGAAACATGAGCCCTGCCCGGCACAGTAAGCATTCTGTCAACTGTGCGTAGATTACTGTAGTTTGTGTACATGTGATTTGCGTTCGTAGTTTTCGTTCCTATTCAAAATACTGAACGTGGCTCCTGGGGCTCGTGAGGCGTGGCGTGTGATGTATTTGTCAAAATCGAATCCAAATCTCACTCAATCTTTTAATTTTGTACATATCTGTATTTAGATTTCCGCGTAGATATCGAAATAGGCGCTAGCCACATTCTTTCTTTGGACCTACAGTAGCGATTTTCACCGTAGCTGCTTGTCAGTGATATGCGTAGCGTGTAGACAGGTAGAGAGCATGGTAGTTGTGCACAGTTTCCCAAACCATTGTAAAATTATGCAGTAACTGTCTGGCAAGCGTGTGATCGGTAAGTTGAACTCAATAAAAACAGGAGGCACAAGGTATTGATATTGTATATTTTATCTCCTCTCTAATTGACTACAATTCTAACAATTTGTATTTGTATTATATAGATCAATAGGTTTACAATTGTATTGGTACAACCCATTAGAAAATTATATGCTCCTATAATTCTGCAAAATTAGCAGAAACACAAGATTTGCATCTAAAGGTATACAAATAAACATAAGTGTTACAAATAAAAGGTTTGTTATTCCAAACCGTTAGTCGAGCACATGGACGAGCATTCACGAAAAGGCAAGAATTCGGAAGCTCCAAGGTTTGGCTGTGGAGATGATATAAATTGATATTGATGGTACACATGTACCAAATGTAGACGCTGCACGTAATTTGGGCTAAATTCTTAATCCATCCTGAAAGTTTGATCGACATATATCTAAAGTATGTTCTACTGCATATGCCCGATTGGGAACGTTGTACTCGTTACCAAAATCATTGCCAACTAAGCTAAATTTATATTTCACGGATTCCCTGATTCTATTCCTGTTTAACTTTGCGGATACTGTCTATGGCCCAGAATTGAAAACCCTTCAGATGACACGCATTCAAAGCGCGCAAAATAGGTGTCTGAGATTCTGTTATGACCTCAGAAAGTACGACCGTATATCTCTGGCTATGCAGAATTCAGGTTGTCTGTCAATGAGGCAGAGAATATGACTACATATTTTTAAATGTATTATTAAAGTTCTTGAAACTGGCAATCCACCTTAACTTCGTGATCGAGTAACTTTCTTGAGAGACTGGTGCGATAGGAGGCCATTCTGCACCAGATCATCTTCTAAGTTATCATTTCCGCGTTATTTCAAATCACTATTTATTTCATCCTCTGCTCATTTGGTCCCACACTTGTTTAACCAGTTACCAGCTGGATGTTGGAAGATGAGAGAGAACTAGTGATTTTCTATTCTTCATAATTATTTTACTACTAATTTCTGATTTAAAAATATCTCTCTGAAAAATAGTCAAGAACTGCTAGTTGCAATTGTGTTAATTACACGCAACTGATAAATATTTTGTACGCTGTACTTTACTCCAATACTTCGTTGAATACTATGCATTATTTTTCCAAAACTCTTGTAAATACAGATAATTGAATACTATGTAAAACCTTTAACTTCATACTTTGATTTAATTTTAGATGTGAATTATCTACGATGACTCAATGTTTTTACTTACGCTTTACTTACGCTTGCTACTATTGTCTACCTACTGTTTTATTGCGATATTATTTATGCGTATTCACTTTATATTATTCACATAGGTTCTGTATCTGCTTTTCTTCATTATTATTATATGAAATCTGCACGCTTTGTATTCTACTTTGCTACATACACGAGTTACTCCAGGTCTGATTTAAAAACTATTTCCTGAACAATTTTTTGTGCAAAGGCAAATTTTGTTACATTTGTTCACATAAAGCTCATATATCAACGCACGAACGAAGTAAACCGCTCACGAAGAGAATACGTAAGAAGCAAAAAAATAACAAAAAAAAAAAACCTTCAGAGACCGGCGCGGGAGATTCCGCACCGTATCGCGGAATGGCCGAGGGAAATTCGCCGCGCATGTGTTTGCCTTATAAGCAGTTCTAGATCCTGGGGCAGGTGAGCGTCGCGGCAGCGAATTGGCTGCGTTTTCTTACTTTCGGATTTAGGAAGGCAGTCGGACGCGTTTCCTGCGCTAGCGACCGCTCCGCTCGAGTTTCTCGGACGTCCGCCCGCCATCGGGAGTCTTCTCTCCCTCTGGATCGAGGTCCCCTTGCTTTTGTTTATCGGCTGCATGACCAACAGTGGTCATTGCTATGTAAAATTTAATAACCGTTTTATTCCTACCCATATTCTATTTAATATGATCGGCACGAATCATCATTTCTATATTTCATATTCCTGGGCAAAACGCGTTGAGCGAAAGTTCTTTTTGACTCCTGCGAACAGATCTCCCTAAGTGCAGGCGAGGCACCAAGAAACGGAGCCCTGCGCGTAGCTGAATATTCAGCTTCGCCATTTCCATGAATTATGCAGCGTTTGCGCTGAGTTGGGGCGACGCAACGAATTTGCCAGGTGGCGACCCTCCGCCCTCGATTCCCGAGGGTTTACGCTGATCCCACGCCTTGGACTCTTGGCTCGCCAAGGAGAATTCTTTGATCGCTTCTTGGACCTTGTCTTAAGTTCTTCTTAAGGAAGTAAGGTGGGTTAGTCAGCAGGTGCGCCATGTTGTTCAGATGTGAATACTACGACCGATCTGAAATACATTTCTAATGTTCCTGACCTGTTAATGAAACGTTTTAGATTCCCCAATTTTACTTTCTCGCTCCCGCTTACGCAGTAGAAAAAAGTCAGTGCAGTTCTTGATTACATATTAACAGTCTGTAAAGCTTTGGTATCGTAGGTAATTGTTTGGCTGTCGTAAAACATCATGAAGGCAGATTGCAATTATGTACACATGAAAAAAGAAGAATGTTACATATTGTTTGGAATAAAAGTGCTATGATTCACTGACTGAAAGTGTTACTTCTCTTATTTCGAAATTCCAGCTCTGTACCCTATGGTTTATG